AAATATTTTGCTACAAAGTAGCTTGTTACATCCTAAATTTTTAATTTATCCTTTATTTAGGACAGATTTTTAGAAGTGGTACTTGAGACACAGAGCGTGAATATTTCAAGTCTTTGATGTATTTTGTTTTTTTCTGAAAGGCAAATTAAATCACGTTTATCTGTAGTGTGTGAAAATACCTCTTTAATACATTCTTAACAGCATAGATATTGATTGTTAACTCTTTCTTTATTATCTGGTTTAGTAACAAATTAAAATACGTTAATTTGTATTTTAAATTATAAGGTAGGAAGTTTTCAAATATGTTATTACCTATATGTATTTCCTAATTTGAAAAGAATGAAATTTAGATGTCAGTGGTTCATTTGTTAATAAGAGGCAAAATGGAACTTCAATGCTAATCTAATCCAAATCGTTTAAGATACTCATTCTACCAAATGAGATCTATAGAATAGAAATTTCCTCTCAACATGTAGAAGAATATTCTAAGTCCCAGCATTGCTATTGAGTAATGTGGGCTATTGCAGGTGGATAAATTAAAGTTAGAAATTAAACCTATGTTTAAGGAGTGCCAGCCTGTAAGGCTGGAGAACTGCTGGGTTCCAGAGGGCCTCAAGCCTGAGATTCTGACAGCACCCACATACATACAACATACAAGAAACCACACAAACAAAGCAGCAGAGCACATTTTTAGCGCTTGGTTCTTTTTTTTTTTTTTTAATACTTTAAGTTCTAGGTACATGAATAACACGAGGTTTGTTATATATGTATACATGTGCTATATTGGTGCTGCACCTAATAACTCATCATTTACATTAGGTATATTCCTCCTAATGCTATCCTCCCTAACCTCTCCTGCTGCACAGGGACCTGGTGTGTGATGATCCCCTCCCTGTGTCCAAGTGATCTCATTGTTCAGTTCCCACCTAAGTGAGAGTGAGAAATACAAGTGTATTTGGTTTTCTGTTCTTGCGATAGTTTGATGAGAATGATGGTTTCCATGTATTCATGTCCTACAAAGGACACAAACTCATCCTTTTTTATGGCTGTATAGTATTCCATGGTGTAGAGTGCTACATTTTCTTAATCCAGTCTGTCACTGATGGACAAAATTTAATGATCTGTAAGTCTGCTATTAGATTAGTGCTGCAATAAACATACGTGTGCATGTGTCTTTATAGCAGCATGACTTATAATCCTTTTGGGTATATCCTCAATGAGATAGCTGGGTCAAATGGTATTCTAGTTCTGATCCTTTGAGGAATCGCTGGCCAATTGTTTCCACATTTGGTTGAACTAGTTTCAAGGTCTCACCAACAGTGTAAAAGTGTTCCCATTTCTCCACATCCTCTCCAGCACCTGTTGTTTCCTGACTTTTGAATGATCGCCATTCTAACTGGTGTGATGGTATCTCATTGTGGTTTTGATTTGCATTTCTCTGATGGCCAGAGATGATGAGCATTTTTTCATGTGTCTGTTGGCTGTATGAATGTCTTCTTTGAGAAATGTCTGTTCATATCCTTTGCCCACTTTGGATGGGGTTGTTTGTTTTTTTCTTGTAAATTTGTTTCTGAGTTCTTTGTAGGTTCTGAGATAGCCTTTGTCAGATGTATAGATTGCAAAAATTTTCTCCCATTCTGTAGGTTGCCTGTTCACTTGGATGGTAGTTTCTTTTGCTGTGCAGAAGCTCTTTAGTTTAATGAGATCCCATTTGTGAATTTTGGCTTTTGTTGCTGTTGCTTTTGGTGTTTTAGACATGAAGTCCTTGCCCATGCCTATGTCGTGAATGGTATTACCTAGGTTTTCTTCTAGGGTTTTTATGGTTTTGGGTCTAACATTTACTTCTCTAATCCATCTTGAATTAATTTTCATATAAGGTATAAGGAAAGGATCCAGTTTCACCTTTCCACATATGGCTAGCTAGTTTTCCCAGCACCATTTATTAAATAGGGAATCCTTTCCCCATTTCTTGTTTTTGTCAGGTTTGTCAAAATCAGATGGCTGCAGATATGTGGTATTATTTCTGAGGGCTCTGTTCTGTTCCATTGGTCTGTATCTCTGTTTTGGTACCAGTACCATGCTGTTTTGGTTACTGTAACCTTATAGTATAGTTTGTAGCATGATGCCTCCAGCTTTGTTCTTTTGACTTAGGATTGTCTTGGTAATGCGGAGTCTTTTTTGGTTTCATATGAACTTTAAAGCAGTTTTCTCCAATTCTGTGAAGAAACTCATTGGTAGCTTGATGGGGATGGCATTGAATATATAAATTACCTTGTGCAGTATGGCCATTTTCACAATATTGATTCTTCCTATCCATGAGCATGGTATGTTCTTCCATTTGTTTGTGTCCTCTTTTATTTCACTGAGCAGTGGTTTGTAGTTCTCCTTGAAGAGGTCCTTTACATCCCTTGTAAGTTGGATTCCTAGGTATTTTATTCTCTTTGAAGCTGTTGTGAATGGAAGTTCATTCATGATTTGGCTGTTTGTCTGTTACTGATGTATACGAACGCTTGTGATTTTTGCACATTGATTTTGTATCCTGAGACACTGCTGAAGTTGCTTATCAGCTTAAGGAGATTTTGGGCTGAGACAATGGGGTTTTCTAAACATACAATCATGTTATCTGCAAACAGGGATAATTTGACTTCTTCTTTTCCTAACTGAATACCCTTGATTTCTTTCTCTTGCCTGATTGCCCTAGCCAGAACTTCCAACACTATGTTGAATAGGAGTGGTGAGAGAGGGCATCCCTGTCTTGTGCCAGTTTTCAAAGGGAATTTTTCCAGTTTTTGCCCATTCAGTATGATATTGGCTGTGGGTTTGTCATAAATAGCTCTTGTTTGGTTCTTTTTTAAATTTCACTTTGAAATTTTGTTTCTTTTCCTTTTTATCTTTGAAATGGGGTCTCACTTGGTCACCCAGGCAGTGGCGTGATTATGGCTCACTACAGCCTCAACACCCTGGGCTCAAGCACTCTTCCCACCTCAGCCTCAGGCTAAAAAAAAGAAATAAAGAGGAGGGGAGGAGTTGGGGAGAGAGGAGGCAGAGCCTGGAACATAGAAGCAGGAAAGTCTGCCTTATTGTGGAGGCAAGGATATCACTATTCAGGGCCCAGGAACTTCTATATTGCTAAATCCATGTTAAGAAATGTAGAGTTTAGTTAATTAAACAACTTAGCACATTTTTTGTGGACCCTGATCAGACAGGAGAAGTGATGGTTTATGTACAAGCTTTCTCATTCCCCAGAACTTTGAAGAACAACTTTAAGGAAGTATCACCTGGTCATAATATATAAGAGTGTGTGTGTGTGTGTGCGCGCGCGTATATATATGTAGATATATGTATGCACACACACACTCATATATACCTATATATACATGTATATAGGTATTCATGTGTATATACACACACACATATATATGTTATGTTAATATATAAAATATTTATAATATAAATATATGTATATATTTTTGATAGGGGCAGTGTCTTCCTGTGTTGTCCAGTTTGGTCTCAAACTCCTGGCCTTCAGCAATCCTCCCACCTTGGCCTCCCAGAGTGCTGGGATTACAGCATAAGCCACTGTGCCTGGCCTCATGGTAATTTTAACCTGTAGGAGAATGGGTGGGAGGATCCAGAGGGCCTAAGTAAAGTAGAACTGGGACAATGAAGACAACATCTTGATGGATGCCAGCAGAAAGGTGTCTTCTTGGGCTTCTGAATGTGAAGAGGAGGAGTTCCTCGAGACGAGAAGAGAACTTCTGTTAGCTCTGGATCTCACTTTATGTATCTATATGTCCACACATACATTTAATATTTATTTATCGAGTATATAGCATGTGCTAGGCATTGTATTTATATTGATTTACTGGTGTGCAAGACATGCATAATTTCTCCAAGGATCTTTATTTAGTTGTTCTAATGGACACATGCACACACCTTCATAAACAGGACATTACTGTGTGACAAATGTCATGCAGGGCACATGACAAATGTCACGCAGGTCACGGTGGAAGGAAACTGATGGAACATTTGGTGCTCCACTGTTGGAAAGGGAAGAGCTATCTGTGAAAACGTCCTTGAGGAAGCAACTTCAAAGCTGAGACTCCTGCAAGGATTGCATTTAGTCACTCGTAGGGACAGGCTGATCAGCCAATGTAAAGTTTATTTCCTCCTGAGCAATGGGCTTGTGACTTCGATATGTGTGTGAGAGTTTCCTTGGCTGAAGCTTTCTCACATTACATGTCATTGTTCAATATCACACAACTAAAGCACCTAAAAGTAAATACTGACTTTAGCTTAATGTTGGACTTGAGGTTGTAAGGTAAAATCAGGGATGAGAGAAGTCAAGAATAGGGTCAAAGTCTCTTCTTCTAGAGGAATATGGTCAGGAGAGAGCAGAACCTCAGAAATTTGGGGAAGTGGGGGTGGCGGTGGGTGTTGCTTGAACTAGGTGTTGAGGAAGAATGCAGGAGTTCTGAGGTTTCTGATGTGACTTGGGGGTCTGAAAGTTACTGGTGATCAGCATAGAAAAAGATGAGAAGAAACTTGGCCAGGTAGAGAAGATGGAAGCAGTCCCAAGGAACCATTGAAGGAGGTGTATTTCCGGAGGTGAGTTAGAGCAAATGGCATTTACCTGGTCTCTGCCAGGCTCTCTTCTGGGTGCTCTGTTACTTATTGTTCTTTTTAGTTTTTATTTAGTTTCATTTTAGTTTTAGTTACATTGATGATGGTCTTCAACAAAGCTGCTTTCTGGATAGCATTGATGCTACTAAAAATGCCAGTTCTCAGATGTAGGAGGAATCATTCAAATTTAAGCAAGAGAAGGTCAGTTTTTTTTTTAAGCCACAGCTGAAGAAATAAATTTGCCCATACTTTATTTAGGATGGGAGCAAAAAACTTTGAGAGCACGGGGTACTATAATACATACTCAATACTCAAATTTTCAGTCCAATTTGGGGCCTCAATAATAACTCAATAATACATACTCAAATTTTCAGTCCAATTTGGGGCCTTCTTATAGGCACCCAGGGGCAGTTTTAGCCCCAGGACTCAGAACTGGCCTTTTTAAGACCTAGGAACTTGATAATGACACGGCGGATCTCCTTGGTCTTAATACTGTATATGATTGGGTTAAGCATGGGAGGCACAAAAAGGTAGACATTGGCCATAAGAAGATGAAAAGCAGGTGGGGCATGCTTCCCAAAACGGTGCACCAGGGACAGCCCCATCATGGGCACAAAGAATACTAGCACAGCACAGAGATGAGCAGTGCATGTCTGAAAGGCACGGTGCTGGTCCTCCTGGGAGGCCAGGCCTGCTACTGTGAGCAGGATGAGTCCATAGGACAGTGCGATGAGCACCAGGTCCAGCATCACAGTGAAAGCTACTACCATCAGTCCATACAGGTTATTGAAAGTGGTATCTGTGCAGGCTAGCTGTATCACTTCCTGGTGCAGGCAAAACGAGTGGGAGAGGACCACAGATCCACAGTAAGAAAAAGCCTTCAGGAGGAGGACAATAGGGATAGTGGCCACAGGTCCCCGGAAAATGACAATCAGGCCCGCCCTGACCACTCGCTGGTCAGTGATAATGACTGAATACCTCAGAGGGTGGCAGATGGCCACAAAGCGGTCAAAGGACATGATGAGGAGCACCGAGGACTCCATGAAGGAAAATGAGTGGATGCAGAACATCTGGATTTGACATGCTCCAAAGTAGATATGATGGGAGTTAAACCAGAAAATCCCCATAGTGGTGGGTAAGGTGGACACACACAGCCCCAGGTCAGTGAGGGCCAGCAAGGACAGTAGATAGTACATGGGTGTGTGCAGACGAGGGCTGGTCTTAATAATGATCAGAATGAAACAATTGCCTGAGATGGCCACCATGTACATAAAGAAAAAGGGGATGAAAATCCAGTGTTTGATGGCTTCCAATCCAGGAAAGCTGGTGAGATAGAACATGGGGCTAAACTGAGTAATGTTGGACAGCGGCATGAATTGAAGACTGCGTGAATATTGGGCTGACATTCCTCGGGGATTGAGCTGAAAATAAATGGATATTTCTGGTTACTAATTCTTCAGCTTCACTAACATTCACAACATCCCAAGCAGTACCACGGTCATCATCACCTTTAGTATTATCTACTCCACCCTTATGAATTCCACCAGGCTCACTACTGAACTTTCTTTGATAACATTGCCCTCACCAGTTTTTCTCTGTATTTCTATTATTCCAGTTCCTCTCTGCCTCTTTGCTGGTGTGTCTTTATTGCTCCACCCTTAAGTATAGCTCTTCCCATCCTTGGCAATTTTCTGGCCATATTCTATTATTTCTTCTTAATGTCATCCACTCCCGTGATTTCATTTACCATCCATATATTGGTAAATAACAAACATATAATTCCAGAACTTGTCTTCTTCTCTTTTGATTTCCAGATTCTAGCAACATCTGTACTTTTCGTTATCTCAGTGGCCCAAGTCAAATATCATGTTATATGTTAGACTTCTCCGTATCACATCTCTCCATAGTATCTAATCAACCAATCACCAAGTCCTGAGGTTTCTGTTTACCGAATAATTCAAGTCTGTTTACTCACCGTCACCTTCATTGATGCTATTCTAATTCAGATCACTCTTTCTGGACATTCCAGTGACTTATCTTTTCTACTACTCTATTCAGTTGACTACTATATAGCAAGAGAGACATAAAAGTTTTTAATGAAGTAAAAAAGGTTTAAAATGACATTCAAGACCCTACCTTATTTTCTCTCTGTATGTATCCTATTTTCTTATCTACCTTAATTTTCTCTGTTACATTCATGGTGTTAATGACACTAAACAATTCTTCCAGTTTATCTAGTATTCTTGCTCATATGTAAACATTTGTATTTTCATTCTTCCTGGAATAAAAACATTTTTTCCTTAGATAGCTTTCCCTTAATCTTTGTCTAGTTACCTTCTACTGATACAACCCACCTTAGCTTAGATATGATATCCTTCAGGCCTTCTTAAATTCCTCAAGTTTAGTTTGAATACCCTCTCCTATGTGTTCCTATAGCTCACTATGCATTAATTACCATGATACTTTCCCTGCAGCATTGTCAATTTCTGTATTGCCTCTATAATGTGAATTGCTTGTGGACATAAACCATGACTGTCTCTTTTTTAATATTAATTTTAGCTCTAGGCATTGACTTTTTTAGCCACCACACCGTTGGAACCCTTTCAATGTTATTTGAATAAATTATTTAAAATGTATCACTACCATTAATCTTACTTCAATAATTATTTATTAATTGATTCAATAAATAGATATTGAAATTGTGTTACATGGCAGACATGATTCTATTAGGTTGGTGCAAAAGTAATTGTGGTTTTTACCATTACTTTCAATGGCCAAAACCACATTACTTTTGCAACTAAGTACTGAAAATATAATGAACAGAAACAGAATAGAGGTAAAAGGAAACACATACATACATACTACAATGCAAGGTAATGTAATGCAATAAAGAAATGTGGAGTAAAGGAGGAAGGTGAGAGTTATGCATTTTATATAGCGTAGTCAGAGAAGACCTCTCTGAGGAGGTAATTTTAGAGAAGCAATCAAAATCAGAGGGCAAGTGTGTGACTATCTTAAAGAAAAACATTCAAGGAAGAAGAAAGAACAAGTGAAAGTTCCAGAAGCAGAGAGCAGCTTGACAAGTTTAAAAGACAAAAGAAGGACAATGTATATTCAATGGAGGAAGCAAGGTGGGGAATGGTGGCAAATGCACTTGAAGTGGCAGCTAAATGCTACGTCATGTATGATCTTGCAGGTCATGCAAGCTACTTTGAATTTTATTATACTTGTGAGTTTTGAGTTGAGAGCAGAGGTGCTGCATGGATATAAGGCCTACATCACTTTGGCAAGGGGTAAAAGAATGGTCTGGAGTAGATTGAGTTGGAGTCCTTGTAGGATAAATGCTAACATGGAAGCCCCAAATCAATCTACTCCAAACCCAAACTGATTTCTTTTTGCTTCCCTATCTCATTAGGAATGTTTCTCTCTTTCCCTCAGTTGCCTTGTTCTAAAACCTAAACTCAGGTTCCTTTGATTCCTTCCTCACCCCGACGTGATTCAGTATATTGAACCAAATTATTAATATATCAATTCCTTACCTTCTAGTCTTTCAAACCTCTCTTTCACCGTCACTGTCCCTCCTTGAGGTGAGGGGGGCCTCACCTCATTTCCTTATTTTTTTTTTTTTTGCGTTTTTTTCTTAACATCATAATACTTTTCTGTTTTAAGTGACTAATATTTTATCCCAGTTTGTCTTGTCAGTTTGTTTGTCTTTTAATTTTTAATGAAGTGTCTTTTTAAAAAATACACAGGTGCTAGTTTTTTTATCTTGGAAAATCTGCTTTTTTTTTTTTTTTTTTTTTAATATGACTTCTAGGGTTTCTTTCTTTAGTTTAAAAGATCTCTCTTGGACCATAATTCTGAAATTATTCAACTGTGTATTTCTAAAATGTTTAGTTTTTCTTTTTATGTTTAATTGAATCAAAACTTATTTTTACATATGGTATGAAGTAAGGTCTAACTTTATCTTTTCCTAATGGATGGCCATTTTTCCAATATTATTATTTTAAACAATTCAATATTTCTTCTCCCATTTGAAATGTTTTCCGCCACTTCACTGCTAGATATGGGTCTGTTTATTAATTTTATTTTGTGTAATGAATCTATCACTTCATTTCTAAGACAATACTACATTGTTTTAACTAGTCCAGCTTTATAAAAAGTCATTCTTCTATTTTTTTCACATATTTTTTGCTACTTCTGTGCATTCTTCAATAAATTTAGAATGAATTTGTAAAGTTAAAAAAAAATGGTCCACATTTCTTTTCCATTTCTTCACTTCTCAGTTTACTACTCAACCAACTACCCTATAATGTTTTTTTTTTATAACCTTCTTAGCTAAAGCAATGCTCCTTAAATTCACCAGTGACCTCTAGGGGCCAAATGCGATGGAGAGTCTTAATTATACCTGCTTTTATTGATTTTTTTTTTTTTTTTTGGTGCAATAGTTGTGTGTCCTGGCTATGCCTTCCTTTTTAGAACTCTCTCTAGAAATTCTTAATGCCAAAATCTGCTGATTCTCTTCTGATTTTTGTGATCGCTTCTATGTACTCTGTTACTTCCATTGCTCAGATATTTATGTTACTCAGTTTCCTGTCCTTGAACACCTTAAATTCTCATTCATTATATTATCTTTTATTATTATTACTTATACAGTAGTAGCTCTTAGACATTAATCTCTAGTCCAAATAACTCTGTTACATATGAGGCCTGAGTTTCTGCCTTCTCACTAGGTGTTTCCAAAAGAATACTGATGAAACTCAACACATCTAACATTGAGCCCAGCATCCATCTCTTCACACCTGATTCTTCTCATGTTTATGATTTTTGATAATATTATTTGCCATTTCCAGTCATTCAAGACAACATTTTTGAGCTAGTGCTCTACTCAACCCTCTCCCTCTTTGTGTATCTAATTTTAAATTAAGTCCTTTTAATCTATGCCTGTAATCTATTTTTTAATCTTCATCTCTGTAGCCAGTGTCCTTGTTCTTAGCTTTCCCACACCTGCTTGCCTGACTTGTCATTCAACATGCAAAGCCAGGCTCCTCATTCCCTTGGTACATCCTCTACTGCAGCCATGGAAATTATGCAGAAAGTGCTAACTCTATGAATCACTGCACTGTTTTCAGTCCTTCAGTAGCTCCCCGTCATTAGAATAAAGTTCAAACTTGTAAAAGATCTGTGGTGATCAGTCCAATCATGATAGGTCATCCATGATTTAGATGCTGTGAAAAACTTTACATAATCATGAATATTTCTTATAACTATGAAACATTTTATCCCTACTTCACAAGGAGAAAACTATAAAAAGGCAAACAACCATCCCAAGGCCTGGTAGTGAGCTAAAATCAGGATAAGATGTGAACCCTTGTCTCTCTATGCGTGGTCCTGGTAGCCTAAAACACCCTGTAACACCATCTTTAGCCAGGCCCTTCTTGTTCTGACACCTTTCCAAACCCATCTTTTCCCAGTTAACACACCCATATCATTTTTTCCTTCAATTCCCCACACATACTTTTCTTGTTTTTATTCTTCTATATTTATTGCTTTCTTGGCAAAAACCACCCCTGTTTTTCCAACCAGTAAACACTTGCTGATCTTTTAAGACTTAGTACAAATATCACTTCTTCTGGCAAATCTCTCCTGACTTCCTTCTGTAGCATTAGGTAAATCTTTATTTAGATAATTAGGTAAATCTTTCTCTGTTCTCACGTAGTACCTGTAATGTACTATTAAGGTGTAAATACACACACATTCTTTATATTTTTATACTTATATATACTTATGATACTTATACATATGTGGAATATACTTATACAGCTATATAAGTACAAATATGTATAAGTTTAAATAACATAAGTGTATAGATTTACTCATATATACTTTATAGAATATACATTTTAGTATATATATATTCTTTATATACTTTATATTTTTATATATAAGTATAGAGTATACATATATGTGTCCATATATTTATATATGTAAACATAAATATACAAAAATATTTATTGTTATGTATTTGTACACGTTTATACTTACATATACTTTGTACAACATATATTATTTATCTATTATAGGTAGTATTTATAAATATTCCTTATTATATGTGTTTAGAACATAAATTTATGTTGGCAAAAACTACCATTAATTTTGCACCAACCTAATAATTCATTTTTAAAAGTTGATTAGACTGGAATTCTCTAAGGGCCTCTGGAGCCTGACAGTGTCTAAGATGTGGTAGGTACCACTATATATACATATTTGTTTGCATGAAAAACTAAATGGGTGAATAAATAAAGTACTCACCTCTTATCCTGATTCTTTGTGCCTGGGGTTCTGTTGTCAGCTCTGTGTTCACCAACTTCAGAGTGATGAGATGGACAGGGAGAGGGATCTGGTGGAAGCAAGATGTCTATACAGAGACAATGACAGGGCTGGGATTATTTCTCTTGGAAAGGATACTTCCTCTTGGGAAGGAAGTTTTAGGATTTTTTTCTAGCAAGAGAGACAATTGTCCATGATAGGAGAGCAACAGTCATTTTTTCATGCCTTCTAAGCAACGGAGGAGTCCACTCAGAGCAATCAGTTAAGTCTACTTTCAGCTTAGATCACAGGAGAAAATTCCTGAAAAGAGAGATATTCAGTATACAATGAGTAATTGGCTGTCTATCTTACCTATGTCTAAATATTCTTTTGTTTGAATTTAATATTAGTTATTTTTTAATGAACTATGTTGGTGGAGGATACTGTTTCTTATAAATAGGAGAATATGCAAAAGAAGCTGCACCTAAACACGAAGAATTGAACCAGACTATTCATTTTTGAACCCCTAGCGAACATTTCCACAGTCGTCAAACTTGTCTGTAAATATGCCTGTTTTGAGTTCTGTAGAGGAGGATTTTGGAAGGGGAAGGTCATATCTTGGATACTGGGGAAGTTATAAGGTATTGTTTGGACTAAAATAAGCAGATTGAGGATGGGATATTTCCTATGTTAACTGGACCAGCACATAAAATGCATTTAATAATTTGTTGAATAAGTGAATGACTTTTTCTAATGAGAGAA